TGTAAGACAGGCCTTTATTAATAACAGAATCCTGACTCTGCCATGTGAGTATATTCTCCAAAATTTGATGTATGTTAAAGACCACCATGACGGATATACCTGCCACAGTGACATTCACAACTACAACACGCGAAACAAAAACCACCTACAACCAATCTTTCACCGGTTACAAAGGTGCCAAAATGGACCCGGGTTCCATGCAGTCACATTTTTTAATCGGCTTCCTGATCCCCTGAAATATCTAAGTAAGTCTAAATTTAAAGAGAAAGTAAAGGACTTTTTGATTTCCAAGGCTTTTTATTCTATACAAGAGTTTAACAACTCCACACTTAGCTGGATGGATGGTAAATTGCAGTGAAAAATAGTATAAGTAATAATAATAGTAATTGTGCCATCTTAACCTGATGTAATGTTTTTATTCTTGAAATTTGTTTGTAAAATTCGTTAAGGTAAATGTTTATTTTAATTTATGTAAATTTTAGCCTGTTTTTTTTTTTTTTTAATGTAATTTTTAGCTTGTGTTTTAAACCTTTTTAAACTATTTTAATATGTAAATTGGAATTAGACAGTAGTTTTTATTGACAAGTGTAAACACATGAGTGTAAATTAACACAAATAAATTGATTTGATTTGATTTGATTTGATTAGTTTTGGGAGTGACTAGGTACTGACTGCACTGACTAAAATGTATAATCACTAATCAGCACTGTCTAGACAGTACCTTTGAGTAACTCAGCGTTTTCTGTAAATTTGGAGCTGTTAAAGTTACCTCATATCTGTCGTTCAGAGCCGTTTTTCAAATGATCGTCAAACATTATTTGGCAGTCAAAACATACGAGAAATCAGGAAGATGAAGGCGAAAAAACAAACATATTTGTTAAAAATTTCAAATTATTCAAATTCTAATGAACTTCCATTAATTTACATTTTCCAGAGCAGGACAAAACGAAAATAGACGTAGATAGCACTATACCAAATAGAAGAACCGTGCTGCTGACCACGGTATCCTATTTGACAGACCAAAAAGTATACCAAAGTCACGGTGACGACATCATTTTCGTATCCGAAATTGGTTGGTATGCATTTGACAGACCAAACAGGGTACCAAACCATGTACCAAAGCTTGCCGAAATCGCCTCAAAAACGAGGCCGATAAGCAATCCATAGTTCTGTGTATTGTATTATCCTTGGAGAATGCGGACCAATTATGAACAAAACCCGTTTGAAATTTGTCACTACGATTATTACGAATACTAGGGCGCATTCGCGATTAAGGTCGGACTCGCTCTGGCAATATTTGCATCCTGTATCTCTTTATCTAAGCAAAGATTAAGCGATTTAGGGCGGGTATTATAAAACTACTTTGAGACTTAACTTAAAGTTAACTTCTGGAATTACATGTAATTCAAAAAGTTAACTTCAAGTTAACTTTCAAAGCAGTTTTATAATACCCGCCCTTAGATGCGCGCTCTAGACGAATACAACTGCCCCCGGATTCTATTTTGCGAATCGAGTCGGATTGTCTCTATATCGAATACGACAACTCCGGACGTACCGTGTAATACATATCGAAATATCGTAAAATAGAATCGCTATTTTGACAATTCGATACGAATTACGACTCGACTCGTAAAATAGAATCCGGCAGCTGGTTCCGAGATTTTAGGCAGTGTTGCCATTTTCAGCTACCACAAATTCTTATTCAAATTTTGTTGTGATAATAATAGATTATATTTTCATATAATAACTACCTATTGCTATTTAATTCTGGAAAGCACTTCGATATTTTATTACACGATTGTATACAGGGTGTTTATTTTAAAACTTGCTGGTTCTTGAACCAGAGTATCCTCGAATATCTCAGAATTTGATGGTGGGGGAATTAGGGGAGTATGACACAATTGACACACATCACATAACCCAGCATAAGCAGTCATAATTTTGATAAATGATACATGTTGCCCATAATTTGAGGCGATTAACCATTCGGTTATTTTGACAGATGAACAATGCATTCAACTTCATTTAGCCGATTGCTTGACAAATGACGTTTGTGTCATTGGTTATCTGTCAACTGTGACCGACCGGTTAAACGCCTTTAATTAGGTCTGTTCCAACCTGTCAAAAAACCGTCCCAGAACAGTTACGGAACCACTCTGTATACGAATTTCGGTTCTACGCAAAAATTTTAGGTCTTCTGCAGAATCCTGACGGTAATATTACGGTTTACTGCTGGGTTGGAACAAAGCTAATGATTTTAGATTATGGGCGCTTTCTTTTATCCACCGATGAATCCATCCCCTTCCATCGATGACCAGTCTACCTTTGTCTAGTTGATAGAAAACCGGAATGGTCTCATAATGGTGGATTCAGATGGATACATCGATGAATAAAAGAAAGCGCCCTATGCTTGATATCCTCGCGAAAAATTGCCTATTAAATGAACGGGCAAAGCGTAATTTCTGTCATGTCTGAATCAATAAGTTTGAAATTTTCGGGATTAATTCAAACTTCTATCTGATCTATATTACCAACTTCAGGAATTGCAAATTGGAACTTGGAACCCACAATATCAAAAATCTAGTAGATTTCGAGGTTATCAAACACAAACGAAAACCTAAAACAAACGTGAAACGTACCGCGCATGTCAGGTCACTTTTACCCATGTCAGCTAGCAGCGATAAGAACGTAGTGATGGGACTTGAACATGGATGCAACGTGAACATTGATGTTAATTAATTGCCTTTGATAATCGATGTTTTAGTATCGATGGTAGAAGCTACAAAACATCGACTTAAGCCGGGCTCAGTCGACTCGTGTATTTGGCGAATACACGATTATTCGCGTATTTGGCAAGTATACGAGCTTTGCGAATTGCGATGGCAAGCAGGGCGCTCACACGACGTGTTACAATTTACAAGTACGCGAACGCGAACAGTTGGCTAAACCTTGACAACTGACTAGAGCACAGTGGTGTGGCAGTCAATATGGATAGCGGTCGTCTGGAAAATTTCGTTGTTGCTTCCGCCGCTTTTGTTGTGATGAGCTTTGCTTATTTAATTAAATTAAAAGCAAAGAAACAGAGAATGAAGAAGATGGTGGATGGTATCATTGTATAAAAGTTAGATATGTTATCTTGTATTCTTTTCCACGCATCATTAACTGTATTTCGATTTTTGTGGTCTTTATGTTTAGCCATCCAAATGTCCGGCTCATTTTCATACAAATCGAGAAACTCCAACACAATGTCATTTGTCCACTCCATTCCAATTTTTAAAGATAAAACAAACAAAACCCCTGTACTACGCTTCTGCTAGTCGAAAACTAAATGAAATAGTCGCAATGAAAGCCAATTATTTCTGCATTTAGTTTGAGCGCTTCTACAAGTATAGACAAGTATGAACTTGGCAAGTGTACGAATAATCGTGATCCCTTTAGGCGGTTACACACGGACGTAGATGTCTGAAAGCATGTACGCACATACATGAACGCGCAAACAAAAACATCAATGTGTATGCAAAATACCGTCGCGTTTTTGAATGTGGAATCGCTAGAAATTTTGTATGCACACTCGGATTACTGTAGCAATAATAGCAAGACTGCAGTTTTGTGCGAGCGTCTGTACAAACGCGACATGCACGTTGTTATTTGCACGTTGATGTATGTACGTATATGTATCAAGCCATCCACGTCCGTGTGTAACCGCCTTTTGACTCGGGACATTTTTACCGACAAGAAATGGAAAACCAACGAATGACAAATAATTGTGCAAGTAACCTACTCACACGACATGGCAAGTATACGCAAGTAACGATTATTCGCCAAGTACACGAGTCGTTTGAGCCCGGCTTTATCGATGTTTGAACCATCGATATTCTATGGGCGGTTACACACGGACGTGGATGTCTTAATACATATACGTGCATACATCAACGTGCAACCAAAACCGTGCATGGCGCTTTTGTACAGACGCTCGCACAAAACTGCAGTCTTGCTATTCTTGCTACACACACACAATTGCACATTCAAAAACGCGACGGTATTTTGCATACACATTAATGTTTTTGTTTGCACGTTCATGTATGTGCGTACATGCTTTCAGACATCCACGCCCGTGTGTAACCGCCTTATATTGCAAAACGCAGGGCAAACCTAAACCCAGAAAAGATAGACTGAAGGGGAAAAAATGATCAACCTTGTCATTTTTAAAGAGTAGATCTTAGTTATTGAGAACTCGAGCATTAAAAGTAGTTTTATAGTGTTTATCATTTTAATCATAATGAGAACAATTCTGAGTTCTGTTCTAGAGCGGTTCTCTCAGTTCTTGCTCAAAAGGAGGCCGAACTGTTTTGGAATTTTGTGATTTGCGGCTTGTTTTGATTTTTATGGTTCCGAATCGGTTCTGAATTATTTTTTGTGCGGCTATTCTACTCCTATTTTATAATACTCTAATTAAAAGATTGAAATCTGTTTAATAATGTACTTCATTATGATACAAACTTTTCAGCCACTGGAATCGAGTTGTTTCTGTTAGTATTTACAAAAAGAAACAACAAAAAATAAATAAATTCGCGGTGCGACGGTGCGGAATTTAAGCGCAAATGGGTACATTCAGGCGGTCCCAGCGGCTTAGCTCAACCTCTCAGCGGGAACTTTATTTTCGAAACCAAGGAACAGCGTTCTCATAAGAACGATTACTCTGTCATTGTCAGTGTTATGCCGGATGACAAAAACAGAATCTTCGTTCCAATGAGAATGCTGTTCCTTGGTTTCGAGAATAAAGTTCCTGCTGAGAGGCTGAGCTAAGCCGCTGGGACCGCCTGAACGTACCCATTGACTCTAGATCTTAATTCTCAGAATTGTCAATAGATGGCACCACCTGCGGCTAGTATCATATCCGACAACACTCTTGAATCGTGTATCTAATAATAGCTATCATTACACGATCATTGCATAATATACTGTTTTTTGTTATTATTTTTTTTGAAATAGAAATAGATTTCACAAATAGGTTTTATGTTTATTTTGTATCATCAAAAATATGAATACAATAGGAGTTAAATTCTAGATAAATCTACTTATTCTACAAAGGCACAGCAAGCGTACTTTACAGTACAGAGGTTACATTCTTATTGTAAAATTACTGAAAATATCTGTACAAAATAACATTGTTAATCCCAAATTTAAAAAGAATGAACTAAATATTAATTATTGTTAACAATTTTCCATTACAGTACTAAAGACTATCACTTTTCAGAAATTATTACTAAATATATTGTTTTTATATACCTATGTATATGAACACAGGAGTAATGGAACAGAAACCTATTTAAGTACATTAGGAACAACGTCCTTATCCTTAATCAGATCTATTTATGTAACCTGTAAAAAATCAGATATTTATATGTCCATTGAAATAGCAGTGAAGACTGTGGAATAAATTCTGCAGAGGAAAAACTACTTTTTTAAGATGTAAAAAGCACAAGTAAATCTCAATTTTTTGTTTAGCGCATTGATGACATATTTCTACAAACATTAGCCTTAAGTAGAGGGTTGGAAACCTAACCCAACCCCAACTTGTGGGGATGGAATGGTATGCTCCTGGATGAAAAGGGCATAAAAAAAGGAGTTTAATGCATTATATACTTTTGCAATAATTACAATTTGGTGAAAATTATTTTTGACCTTATTCCTTATTTGTCAAATTTCATTCCGCCAAGTCATCACTACTACCTTAATGGACGCAGTTTTTATTGCAAAATTTAACTCTCCATCAATAAACGCCCTTGAACTTCTCTGACTAATTCATATTTTTTCCAATTTTCCAGAAAATAAGGAAGTTGTTATACAAACACTGGCTAGACTCAAAACTTAGATGCAACACTTAATGTTCTTCTTAGTTTGAATTAAAACATATAAATATAATGTGTCAATAAATTTCACTATGAATAGGTATATGATTAAATGGTTTGTCTTGTCTGAGTCCTGCCGGCAGTTTTTTCTGTTTGACCCAGCTACATGAATTTTGTTAGACATTAGACAGAGGGACTTCTTTTTTCTTTGTTCTTTGGAAGGCAATAGTCAGTGATTTATAAAAAATTAAACTTGAAAATGTGAATACCAACTTTTTATAGACGACAGTCTAGCATAGAATCATCTTGATAACAAGTGCTTGTATAATTTTTCTTTACATGTATGATAACTAAACTAAAATCGTTTCAAAATTCGAATTCAAATTGTCTTTTCTGACTAGAAGTTTAGAGAGAAAGTAAATATGTTAATTTCATAAGAAGGAGAAATGCTTTGTTTAAAATTTAAAAGTTCTGGGTTCTCTTCCTTTTAGTATCCATAGCATCTAGAATTGGCTGCCTTTTAGCTTGATACCTGTAAATAATGAAAACACATTTATGGCGTACGTCTTTTAATTGAATTGTTAGAAACTATTGTTACGAAATTACATTGGTGCTGGGTGTCGTTCGCTGCTGTTAATGGGCAGAGCGCGAATATTCAGGAATTTTCTTGTGTGATTTAGTTTATACGAAGTCAATCTGAATAGCATAAAAATTGTGTAGGCGGCATCTTCTTATGAAATTAAGCATATTCGTGCAACAGCCTAGGAATTAGAATTAGAATTCTTTTTTTGCACGCATATATGCTTAATTTCATAAGAAGATGCCGCCTACACAGTTTTTATGCTATTTGGATTCACTTCGTATAAACTATTAACAAACAAGCATTTACGTGATTCTAGAGATATCTCGATTGAATGGTTTTGTATATACAATAGTGCGTAGTTTGTGAAGCAGGAGCTAGTTTAAACGAGAGAATTGTCGCATAAAGTTGAGTAAAAGCGATAAGCGATTAGGGAATAAGTAAAGTCAATTAGTTCAATAAACGTTGTTATTGTTAATAGAGAGAGTTTTGAGTGTACCTGCAGAATCCGTGATAATTTGGTGTCAGAAGTGAGATAATTAGCAAAAGAATTTGTAGTATTAATTTAAGCTAAATAGTGAAATAATTGGGAAGATAACTAGTCGATTAGTTTAAGAACTATTAGGTTGAATTGAGCTAATTAGTATTAATAAGTGAACTTTTGTCGAACAAAGATTGACTTCTTTACTGGATCTGACACCGAAAAGTTCACAAAGAGGTTTTCGGACAAGTTTCAGAACATTCTATAGTGTTCTATTTGTAAACCGTGAGTGATACAAGAATAAAGAATTTATTACTGATTTTGACATAAAAAAACAAGTCCACAGAGTAAAATCACTCTAGATCATTCCATCCTGTTCTACTTGACTATTAGACATGGTACAGGAATTCTGACTTTGCCACTGGACTTTAGTTATAAAAAATCCAGGGTCGTATTTAAAAAAATAAAGTTGATGATGGTGGCTCAAAGACGGAATGTCAGATTTTTAATTTGATGGTAGCATCTTGTAGAGGAGAAAAAGTGGCAATGATGGGATCTCTTCAAATAAGCGCAGAATAAAATTAAAACGCTTTTGTAAAATTTCGGTTTATTCCGAATATTTCCGGAACTATTCGGAATTTTTACATTTTTAAAACGGTATTTTTTTAAGCATGAAATAACGCAACTTTTCCTCAATTCAATCCACCTCGTATCTCTTATGGTTTCCGACATCCCCATGCACACACTGGGATTTGTAACACCCTCTATTCTTGAGAATCTGCATCTTGCAAAGAGAAATAGGAACTATCAGCACTATCAGCAGCATGGAAATATTCACCAAAATGACACCAGGAATAAAAATAAGCTTGTACCTTTAAACTGGCGCCTCAGAAAATGTTGAGACGGCCCAGGTTATTGGGCAAACACATTTTTTTAATGTTCTACCCCAAAATATTAGAGAACTTCCCTACAATGTCTTTCATAGAAAGGTTAAGGAGATTCTTCTAAAGAAGAGTTTTCATTTATTCTCGGAATTTCTAGAGTTTAGATTTTAAATGTAGGTATATTGTCAATATGTGTTTTCAGCTTTTTTTATTATCAAGTAAGACAAATGTCTAGATTTAAGTTTAATGCCTCCTTAGTTTGTATCTATTTTAACTTTTGACGTGTTATTTTGTAGTGACATGATAAATAAATGAATAATTGATTGATTGACAGTCAAGGCGTAAACAGTTGTTGCCATTGCCGCTGGTGAAGGTTTGATTGCGCTGTTGCCAGTTGTGACTGAGTGCGTCGTGAGAAAATTGAAATATAAAAAATAAATTGAATATAAAAAATAAATTCCGTATAATAATAAAAAAAATGTTATGTTCCCACTTGTCATGTAATATAAGTGCATGTTTTTAGTTGAAGAGTTTTATTTTTAATTTATGAATTTTCCCAAAAAGGACTCTAAGTTTTTCAGAAGTGAGGATGCAGAATATGATATTTTTAGCGGCGTTATTCAAATATGCCAATTTCAAAAATTAGTGAAAGAGCCCAGTAGTATAGATATAGTTAACCTAAATAAAACTGACAATGGATCGCCAACAAACTGGAGAAAAGAAAAGTTTGGCGAGCTTGATAAGAAACCAGAAACAAGATTGGTGAGACACCATTGCTGATCCAGGAGGTCAACATTATACTCAAACGGACGCTCTACAGATTCCTACGATATGATGAGGAATACTACCGAGTTCTATTGCGAGCGTCCGAGCAGACGCAGGCAGTCAAGGCAGCTAGTAGCATGACAGAAAAGTCATCCAAGAACGTATGGCTATTAATCTAGGACTGGAAGGCCATGAACACCTAAAACATACAAATTCAATGTACTCACTCACTCCTCACATCAGGAAGATAAAAATGATACCGAACTACCTAATGATTCGGAGTTTCCAAAAGCGAATGGAAATCTACTCCAGGAAGATAATGGCCAATTATATTTAAAAATCATAAAAATCTTCAATGAAATATGGAAATTTCTCCAGCAAAAAAATTAACAATATACTTCCTACTTGTTATCTTAAGTATGTACGGTCTAATCAAAGTTATGATTTCAGAACTTGTATTATTCACACAATTGATGACTCGTTATTTAGTCAAAACAAAAGCAATTACTTAGAACAGAAATATCCCATTGTTCGGATCGAGACCAATAAAAAATAATCAGAGCCAAGCGATAGCAAATAAAATAAAAGGTAGGTTTATTACTTATCTCTATGCATGTCGCTTTGTGACGCCAAATCAAAAACGCCATAAAATAATTATTTGATTGTATTAATTAAATACTTATTATTCATTTTACATAAAAATTATTATTTTTAGTACAAATAGCCAATAATAAAATGTATGTTTCCGCAAAAATCACAAATCAGTCAGAGTGAATATCATTGGTTGAAACTAGTTTTCTGACTGTTTCTGACTGTTCAACCAATGAAATTCGCTCTTACTGGTTTGTGATTTCTGCAGAAACAGACCTAGTAACAAGACATGTCACATTTTTTATGTTGTGTTAGAGTTAATTAGCTAATTATGGCTAACACAGTCAAGCAGGAGAATTTAAATATGTTAAAGAAGTTTTTTGCCTCGACGAAAAATTGGATAAAATGGTACTTTGACATTTGAATAATTCCGAACATATTCCAAGATATCTGGAAAAACCTGAAATTTTGCAAAATCGATTTTATTTTTTCCTGAGCTTATTTGAGGAGAATTTAAAATAAATGTCACTTCATCATTACTATTTTTTCTACTGTACAAGATGACATTATCAATTTTGAAATTTGATGTTTCAACATAATTTTTTTTAAATACGGGCCCCTATTTTTTATTTTAGATTCTATAAGCTTCTGATGTTCCAAAACCAATGACGTATTGCATTTATTCGAAAAATTTATATTATTGGCACTTTCCATAAAATCTTTATGTGTTAGCGAGTGAGAGACAGATAAGAGAATTTTGGTAGGAAATTACTAAAAAGTAAAAAAAAAAATATTTTTTCAAATAAATGCGATACGTCATAGGTTTTGGGACATCAGAAGCTCCTATAATCTGAAATAAAAAATCAAGGGCCGTATTTAAAAAAAATTAAGTTGATGATGGTGGCCCAAAGACGAAACGTCAGATTTCAAATTTGTGAATGTCATCGTGTAGAGTAGAAAAAGTAGTTGTCACGCTCACAATGAAGTGCTCTGGTGAAAATTACGCAAACAAAAATGATAAATTAAATTAATTTTTTTTGGATCAAGTAGGTAATTTCCGCAAATATAAAAATTGATAATTCATTTACCTTTTTCTTAGTTCTTCTATTTCCCTTTCCATATCCTCATCTAAGCTATTCATTTTTTGCTGAAGTTCCTCATATGATAGAAATTTTAACTGCAAATAATACCAACAAAGTTAATAAATAAGACAAGGTTCATTAACAAGATCAATGCTTACAAATTCTAAATCTTCTGATAAAATGATATGAACTTGTTTTTGTTCTTCCAATACTTGTTCCGTTTTTATTTTATCGGGCGAGTCGTCATTTTTTGGCTCTTCGGCATTAGGAATAATATCCTGAGTCATAGGCGCATTCAATAGGCCATTTCCCTTTGATAAAAAAAATATTTTTTAACAAAAACTTTAATGAATAATTTCTGCTACTAACTTTTCGATTCTCTTCCATATCTCTATTATCAAAGTGATCCAGGAACATTGGTCTGTATTTATTCTTACTTTGTGCAGAATCTGTTCCGTGTCCTGAAAAAAAGAGATACAATTAAACCAAAAACATAATTTCGCATCATTTATACGAACTTTTCATAGTTTGATCGTCATCACTATCATTATTAATAACCATGGTTCCCAATTCTAACTCTACCAAAGTACCAGAAGGGCTTGAAGGAACCAGAGTTCCTCCCTTGTCTGGCACTAATGTTCCATCGTCTACACAAGACACTATTGTCTGATTTGCAGAATCGTCCAAAACATCGTCCTATTAAAACAAAAATTATTGGCCTATCAAAATGCCTTCAATTAATAACTTACAGATTCTGTTACAATATTTTGTTTAATGCTACTGGGAATATTAGTAGAAACAGAAATATTGCGATAAGTCTGATTCTCTCTTATTTCATGAGCTTCTTGAATCATTGTGCTCAAGATACTAGGGGCTTTGGCGTTTCCTATAAATACATGACTGAGTAAATCAGTAGCTGTGGCACGTTCCTCAGGATTTTTAACCAAACATATAGTAACAAAATCTATAAATTCAGCACTCCATTTGTCTGGTTCCCTAAATGATGGCGGTGGTTTTGTGGGGATCATAAATATCGCTCTCATTGGATGAATATCACCATAAGGAGGTTTGCCCTCAGCCATTTCCAAAGCAGTGATTCCCAAGCTCCAAATATCAGCCACACAGTCATAACCAATTTCTTGAATAACTTCTGGCGCCATCCAAAATGGTGTACCAATCACAGTGTTCCTTTTGGCCATAGTATCTGTTAATTGTCCAGCAACTCCAAAATCGGCTAATTTAGCATGTCCCTCAGAATTTAATAATATATTACCAGCCTTTATGTCTCTATGAATTTTTCTTCTTAAATGTAAATATTCTAGCCCTTTCAGAGTATCGCATAACACAGTGGCTATTTCATCTTCGCTTAAAGTTTTTTTTCGTAATCGCATTATGTCTGACACAGAACCTGCTCCACAATATTCCATCACAATCCATAGATCTAAAAAACAAAAATAGTCCTCAACCCCGCAATCAAATGGTTATTATACCAAAGGCAATGTGAGCCAAATATGCGGCTACAATCGATAGCATATCCCTGAGCGCGCTAAACTTCAATTAGTTGTCAAGAATTGTTATTCCCTGTGATCATTTCGTGTCCTTTTAAAGATATGCTTCACTTTCGTGGGTTAGAGAACAGGACCAAAAAAAGAAACTATCAAGCTTTTGGCAACGTTTCCGAATATATTATTCCTTTTTCAAGCCTTAAACTATTGTTTCCGACTCCTGAACGGACTCCAGAAACAATAGTTTAAGGCTTGAAAAAGGGAAAATCGAAACGTTGCAGAAAGCTTGATAAATTTCTTTTTTTGGTCCTGTCCTCTAACCCACGAAAGTAAAACAAATTGTTGTTCCGTTATTCTGCAGTTATTACCATGTTTATTATTTATTACTTCAAAAAAAAAAAACACAATCGAAGATTGCTATGGTTTTTTAAATGTATGTCTTTGCAATATTTTTCTTTAATTTTGTCAATGAACTTTAATGTCAAAATGTTATGTCATAAATCCTGACTAATAAAGAAACAATAATGCGACATACGTTTTCGTAATCAAAGCAATCTTTGATTGTTTTTTTTTTTTTGAAGACTCGTTATATTTATGTGAATAAGTTTACTCACATGGATTTTTATATAATTTATTTCCATTTATTTTTGAATTTGACTTTTAAAAAGGAGTTTAACTCAGCTAAGCAACCTTATCAACATAGCCTGTGCATAAGAAGTTTTACAAGTTCGTGTAATAGTAGAGATAGCATTGAATCCACCTTCAAGCTAATGCACACTGGCTATCTAAGTCACCCTATACCTACTCATCGAGCTATACATGTAACTTTTCAATTTTGAAAAATGTCTCTTTAATGGTTTTATTGAAAAATGAATGTTATTTGATTTGTAGTGTCTAGTGTGTTTTAGTCTTGGTTTTAGTATTAAGAATGAATTTATTATTAGATTAAATGCGAGATTAAATGGTAATAGTGAATAGGTATATTTGAAGAAGATGAAAACAACTGGTGTTAAATGGTTGATATACCGGGTGACAACGAAATCGTTATACAAGGCGTCATTCAGTTATCTTTGAAGTTAAAAATTTGAAAATTGGGTGAAACGGGTAAGTCATTGAGACGCACATTTTTCGTAAAAAAACAATTGAATATCACTTCCGGTTACTCCAGAAATGGACCCAAGTCAAGAAATTTTTATGGAACCCTGTATATTTTTTTGCACAGTTGGATAGAGCTTAAAATTCCCTTTCCAATGACATATCGCAACTTGCATTTGTTTCCAAGATGTCGGCGTAAGAAGGTATTTTTCTTAAATTCAATATGGCGGCATTCTGACGTAACCGATAATGTTTCTGTCAAACAAACACTTTTAACAATCCATAATTTTAAGATTTAAAATGTTTTTAGATCGAATTTGAAAAAAAAATGATTTTGCTCAAAAACAAGGGCATTTCAAAATTTTTTCGAAATGCAAATTTTAGTTTCAAATTTTCTAAAAATTTTTAATAGGAAGAGGTATTTATTAAATTCTAGAATTAAAGTGTGTCCAATGGCCTACCGAAAAATGTCTACCAAAATTCATATTCATTTTTTGGTTAGGTATTCAAAGGTTAGGTCAGAATGCCACCATATTGAATTTAAGAAAGTGCCTTCTCACGCAGCCATCTTGAAAACAAATTCCACTTAGCATATGTCATTGAAAAGGGAATTTTAAGCTCTATCCAACTGTGTAAAAAAATATACAGGGAAGTGATATTCAATTGTTTTTTTATGAAAAGTGTGCGTCTCAATGACTTACCCGTTGTACCCGATTTTCAAATTTTTTAATTTAAAGACAACTGAATGACGCCTTGTATAACGATTTCGTTCTCACCCGGTATAGGTACAGGGTATCCCACTATGAACTGCTGCGATCACTATCTCAGAAAAATAAACTTTTGAAAATTTTGAAAAAAGGCCCATTTAACAGTTTTATTTTGTTTATTTATTGAAAAGAACGTACAGTTTTATGGTTCTCTGCTCGGTTCTCTGCACAAGGAACAAAAAAATTGCGTCCTGGAGAATAAATATCTGTACAATGTTGTCACATTGTTAAAATTTTTCTAAATTTAAATTCTGCGATAACTCCAAAAATACTAAGAATGGACCCATGGTAAGTAGGACTGTTTTAGCTTGAAATGGGCCATATTATAACATGTTAAAATATTTGTACTCACACCTGATGAATATGATCTTTACAATTTTTCTCAAATTATTTATAGTTCTCTATATCTTCATTTTTTTTAGGTATCAAGTTAAATAATATTTTAGGAGCCAAATATACAACAAATTGTTGCATTGCGTTTGTTCTACTATGTGGTATATTTAGGATATTATTTAGTTTACTTTCCGTGCCATAGCCATGAGACTAGTGATGCTGTCTGTTTTTGCTGTTTCTGAAGAAAATTACATACCAAATAAATCTACAATTCTGACCTCACAAAGTTCATGTCTATATAGCTTTTTGATCGAATATAATTTTGATTTTATCAAAATTACTTTTATTATGTACCTAATTTTGAATAGTTTTGAGTGACTGTCGATGTATGGGATGAGTTCAAACCAATGAAGTAGTAAGATGGTTGGAATAGCCCTTTGCCTATCTACTCAATACAAATATTAGCGGCCAACATTAGAGTGATAGCGTTTTCCATTTGTCAAATCAGGGCAAAAAAATGTATCCTTATCCTTGCATGGTCTTGAAACGGTTCAGGTTGTAACCTGCAGGGAAAACCGTCGCAGGGAGTTTATTCCACAGCGATGCTGTTCTCCAGAGATATGAATTCTGATATAGTGAGGTTCTTGGTGCCTCTAGTTTGACAGTAAATTCATGGTTACCGTCTGTTTGACGCGTTCGCCTGGTAGGTGCTACTCTCGGTGGAATCATACGTGCCAACTCTTCAGAGCATTTTCCGTGATAGTACCTGTAGAAGAGAGATAAATCGCCCACAGATCTGCGATGTTCGAGACCATCCAAGTTACGAGTAAGTGCGGGGTCATTGATCAGCTTGATAGCTCGTTTTTGCACGGTATTCAAAAGCATTAAGGTATGTTTGGGTGCAGCACTCCATATATGTGAGCAGTACTCCATAGTTGGTCGAATCTGGGCTTTGTAGAGTGTCAGCAATTGGCTTGGTGTGTACAGATGTCTTGTACGAAATAGCACCCCCAGCTTTTGGGAGGCCCTTTTAGCAATATCTGCCACGTGGCTGTGCCAAGACATGTTGGTCTCTGCAGTAACCCCCAAGATGTTCAACTGACTCTGTAATGTGACAGCACTTCCAGATAGCATGATGTTTGGCTCACCGGTGCTGGTCTTTTTTGAAAACAGAGCTGCTTGGGTTTTCTGCGCATTGAACTGTACAAGGTTTTTGTTACCCCAGTCCTCTATTATCTCCAGGTCGTTATTTATCTGCGATATTTGAGTTAGTCTAAGATGATGGAATTCACGTGCGGAAAGCCCTGTGGGTGGTATGAGTGAGGAGACTACATTACCATCGTCTGCAAAGCAATAAAGTGGATTTACTGTTTTATCTATGAGGTCATTTATGTAAATCAGGAAAAGAGTTGGCGAAAGGATTGCTCCCTGTGGCACACCAGCATTTATTTGGTAAGAGTTGGAGTTCTGGCCATCCAGTGCAACATAAATGGATCTGTCCTTTAGGTAACTTTCAAACCAAGTGCAAAGTTTCGGCGATAATCCCATTGCTTTGAGCTTGTTGAGAAGATTTTCATGCCAAACTTTGTCGAATGCTTTAGATATATCTAAGGCAATTGTTCTTGTTTCACCCCGCAACTCAATCGCTTTTTGCCATAAGTGAGTGACGTATGTAAGTAAATCGCCAGTTGATCTATATTTTCGAAATCCGTATTGCTTATCGTTGATAATTTTGTACTTTTCCAAGTACTTGGTTAGGTGATTGTTCACAACTCTTTCCATTACTTTTGATATCACCGGAAGTAGAGCAATTGGTCTATAGTTTAACGGATCTGTCTTTTTTCCTTTCTTTGGAATGGGTTGTACTGCGGCAGACTTCCATGATGATGGATATACTCCTTGCCTGTAAGACAAATTGAATAATTTTGCGAAAGTTGGGGTGAGTTCGTTGGCGCAATTTTTGAGTACTATTGCGGGAATGCCATCCGGACCCATTGCTTTGTTTGTATCCAGCTTTTTTAAGGGATATTCGTATTTCTCTGTGACAAAAGGGTACCTCTGGCATACTATGGGAAACCCTTTCAATGAACGGTGGAGTTTTTCCGTTTGGCACTGTTAGGTTGGAGTTGGAGGAAAACATTTGGGCAAGCATATTGGCTTTTTCCTCTGATGTTGTGGCTAAGTGATTATTTTTATCTGTAAGTGGTGGTATGGATGACTTGGTGAAGTTAGATCCAACAGCTTTTGCAAGAGACCAAAAAGACCTAGAACTACTTGGACAATTCAGCAACCTGTTTTTTATTCTTTGATTGTATGTTTCTTTAGCAGAGTCAATAGTAATTTTGCAACTATTTCTGGCTTCTATAAATTCTGTGTGGTTTTGAGCGGTTTGTTGTCGTTTCCAAAGGTTATATGCTCTGTGTTTTTTCTGTACAGCCGTTTGGCACTGGCTGTTGAACCAAGGTTTAGCATTAGCTCTACGTTTAGTTGTATGTGGGATATATGCGTCCATTCCAGATAAGATTACTTGTGTTATTTCATTACAGCAAATAGTGGGATCAGCTGTTTTAAAGCAAACCTCTTGCCATGGAAAATCCAGGTAATACTGTTTTAGGTCATTCCATTTTGCCGATTTATAGTGCCACATTTTACGAGGAAGTGGTTGTAGGCTTGGTGGGATGAGCATTTCGCACTTTGCTATTATAAGTTTATGATCGGACGAACCAAGTGGAGCATCTACTTGAATTGTGTACGAGTCAGGATTTGTGGTTAGGAACAAGTCTAAAAGCGCTGCAAATTCGCTCCTTTCTGAGATACGGGTAGGTTCATCGACAAGCTGCGTTAGACCACAACTTACCCTACTAGCGCTATCTCATTCTGGAATCAATTGAATGACGCAAAGCCCATTCCAAACCTTCTTTCTACTTTATGGGTTCAACCCCATACTACAATACCTTATTTGCTACCGTACCTCAATAACCAGTGTGAAGTTAGCAGCCAAAACTTGGCAGCCAATTTGCTGGAAAGGGCCGAACGACCATTGGTGTAGCATTGTTTTTTAATTCAAAATAAATTCAATAAATCATACTTAGACATCGAGTCTAGCCATGAAATTTATAAAGCACTATTTCAACACCTTTTACAACCTCTATGCAAAATCCCATTGACTCAAACCCTGTCGAAATATGAAAAACTACCCTTAACAAGTGAAAATGCATAAATATTGAGATTTTCGTATTTTTTTCCATTACGGACTTCAAGTCTTGCCATGAAATTGATGGGGTACTCTTTCAGCACCATCTTCAACCCGCACGCAAAATCCCATTGACTCAAACCCCGTCGAAATATGAAAAACTACCCTTAACAAATAAAAATGCATAAATATTGAGATTTTCGTATTTTTTTCCAACTCGGACTTGGAGTCTTGCCATGAAATTAATAGGGTACTCTTTCAGCACCATCTCCAACCCCCATGCAAAATCCCATTGACTCAGACTCTGTCGAAATATGAAAAACTACCCCTTACAAGTGAAAATGCATAAATACTGGGATTTTCGTATTTTTATCTAACTTGGACTTCGAGTCTTGCCATGAAATTAATAGGATACTATTGGAGAGCGCCCTATTAATTTCATGGCAAAACTCGAAGTCCAAGTTGGGAAAAAATACGAAAATCTCAATATTTATGCATTTTTATTTGTTAAGGGTAGTTTTTCATATTTCGACGGGGTTTGAGTCAATGGGATTGTGCATGGGGGTTGGAGATGGTGCTGAAAGAGTACCCTATTAATTTCATGGCAAGACTCCAAGTCCGAGTTGGAAAAAAAAAAACGAAAATCTCCATATTTATGCATTTTTACTTATTAGGGGTAGTTTTTCATATTTCGACGGGGTTTGAGTCAATGGGATTTTGCATGGGGGTTGGAGATGGTGCTGAAAGAGTACCCTATTAATTCCATGGCAAGACCCGAAGTCTGAGTTGGAAAAAAATACGAAAATATCAATATTTATGCATTTTTACTTGTTAAGGGTAGTTTTTCATATTTCCACAGGGTTTGAGTCAATAGGATTTTGCATGGGGGTTGGAGATGGTCCTGAAAGAATACCCTATAAATTTCATGGCAAGACTCGAAGTCTGAGTTGGAAAAAAATAAGAAAATCTCAATATTTATGCATTTTTACTTGTTAAGGGTAGTTTTCCATATTTCCACAGGGTTTGAGTCAATAGGATTTTGCATAGAGGTTGTAGAAGGTGTTAAAATAGTGGTTTATGAATTTCATGGCTAGACTCGATGTCTAAGCACGATTTATTGAATTTATTTTGAATTAAAAAACAATGCTACGCCAATGGTCGTTCGGGCGTTTCCGTCAAATTGGCTGCTAAGTTTTGGCTGCTAACTTCACACCGGTACCTCAATAGGGGTTCAACCAAACTTTAATAGAATATTATCAAAAGTTTTGAATTCAAAATTTCTTCAAGTAGAATTTTTGAACAAGATATTTGATTATTTTACAAAGATACTGACAATGACTAGGTACCCCATTTCAGTTTTTTATCAATCATGATGCCCAAGATGATGCCTAGATATTCAGTTTTACCCGAGGTTTTACCTACTCCTTTGATTGGTTCAGTAAAATCGTTGATTATTGTTATTGAATAAACTGGTTGCTGAAAGGTGTAGATCTCCATAACAAGACTTTTATAGTTTTAAAAAGAATTTGCCTAGAATAATTTATCTATTTTTCAGAATACTTCATTGGACATTGTAGAAATAGATTCAAGACATTATTTTCAAGCATGAAGGCTCGCATGAAGGTATTACAAAACTATTAAGTAAAACAATCCAAGTTCACATTTCGGTTCAAAGCATAGTTTAGCTGAATAACTAAACTAGTCAGCAACTTCTAGGGCTAAAATGCATTGTTTCTTGGCAGCAATGCATTGTTTAGGAATGGGTAAAATTAAACTGGACCATTATTGAAACTTTCAGGTTCAACCTCGGGTACAACTAGATCTTTAGTGAAATAATTAGTTCTGAAAAGTAGAAATCTGCCATAGGTATGGTATAACAGTTGTGGATTGTGTAGGTAAACCTATTACCTATATGGATTCTCAATAAACCAGATAATTAACAAATTTTTGGCACTTACCAGTATTTTTAAAATAACTTCCATAATATTTGACAACAAAAGAACTATCACACTGTTGCATTATAGATATTTCTTTAATGATTTCTTGCAAATCAGTGTCAACAGGCACTTGTTTAATGGCCAATACTTGTCCTGATTCTTTATGCAATGCCTTATAAACACTGCCATAGGAGCCTTCCCCAAGTTTACATATTATATCGAATACTTCTTCCGGCTGCCTGGTCAAGCTTTCCTCTGATAATTTTTTGAGTTCGCTAAAATAATAAGTATGAGTAATAATTAAATCCATATAGATTAATCCTCGGATGAATCAGAAAATTGCGGAGATAAGCTCGAAGATAACCCCAAGTTAAAACTAAAATAATATTCTTCTAAAGACAAAAGAATGAATGAAATAGATTCCGCTGTGGGTGTTTTGTGTGGAATGCTATTTTATTCTACAAAGATAATTATAAGTTCTTACCTGGGTACTAACTTATTGGAAGACATTTTTGATTTAGATTATTCAGCAAACTTTACAAAGCAAATTAAACAAATATTGCATTTTTTTGTAATAACAAAGCTTATTATTTATATTTTATGGTCACACTGGAAAATAAACACCATGGTTTTCTGTCTCTGCTGTCTTCTCTATTTGGACAGTCTATTTCCATTTGATCCCTTCCCGACCCTACACTACACTCAGTACCCTTTCACTGATTCGCTTTCCAGAGTCAGTCCACTTTTGGTATCTTTTTTTCTGTCCCCACCAGAGTACTAGTACCACAGTTTCTAGTACTGCAAATTGAGTTTGACAGTCCAATTTTCAATCCTCGCCTCTCGACTCCTCATTTACTCATCACGTCACAACCAACCGTAACCGTAACCACACTCTCACTGACTGAAACTTAGACCACTGGGCTGCGTTCGAGAACGTGGTTGTCGGTGTTAAAATTATTTCAAGGAGTGGGGGTCCGACACACTTCGGTGTGCCAATCTTGCTCTAGACACCTTTTCACGTCGCTCCGGTTTAAACTAACCGGCAGGCCTATTCTCTACGAACAGCAATTACAGAACAACCAGCAACCGGTCGCAAGTTGCTATTTTTGGATAGAAAACTCGCGTTTGACAGCGACTATTGCGCAATTCTTTGCGGTTGCAAGTTACAGAATAAATCCTAGTACTCATAAGTCATAACTGCGAAATTCGCACTTTTTTGACATTGCTTTGACAATTTGACGTTTTTTGCATGTATCAAATTGTCGAAGCAATGTCAGAAAAAAGCGAATTTCGCAGTTATGACTATGAGTACTAAGATTTAGCCTAGTACCTACTCATAACTGCGAAATTTGCAATTTTTTGACATTGCTTCGACAACTTGATGTTTTATGCGTGAATTAAACGTATAAGTACTAGGCTTTAAGGCGGCCGGTTACAAAACGGTTAGGGGCAGTATGTCAAGTAATGACAACACTGAAAATGCAACTTGAAAACGAACGGTTAGAAAAATGTTATTTTAAATTCGGTTTGAGGTACTTAAGGTATAGCCAGTATAGGTGTTTGACTTGTTTTGTGTTTTTAATTTTTGATTTTTCAATATTTTCGCCAGTGCTGTTAAATCTGACCTACCCATTATGTCTACAATGGACAAAAATATTTTATGGGAAGCAAGTTTTTTTTTTTCAAAATTGTGGAATTATCTAGTATTTCATTCCTTTTTATTACAGCAAGCTAAAAAGTGAAAAGTATGTACCTAGTTCAATTTCTTTTCGTTCAATGCTTTAGATGTCGACCATGGGTGGATAGACTTACTAGAACCAGTTTATCTAAAGTTTATAAGTTCTCGTTACCTACAGTCTACAACAGCCCATCAAGTAGGTAAACTGATGGGATTGTCTCTGGTACATCTTTTGAGTATAATACAGGGTGATTTACCTGCAAACTGAACAATTTCTTCTAATGCACGGGCTACGTAAATCAGGCTAAGGGAAAACGGCTTTCAGGCATCAAATTCATAAAATATCAGAATTCCTATATACAAAACACAACTTTTTATTTAGTTTTTACACTTTTCCGAACTTTCCCGCTCTCCGTTGTTTATATTTTTTTGTTCTAACCACTCGGCGTAACCATATCGCCGAGGCGATTATAGAAATGACATACCTCTTTCTAACCAGGTTACAAAGTGACATCTTTGATACCACTCGAATTTGAGTGATATGTTGCGGTTTGTTAAACCGGAGCCACGTGAAAAGGGCTCTGTGGCCATTTGTGGCTCGACCGCCGCGGCGGTGCAGCACTTGTTTTGTTGACAACTTTGTTTTGTTGTTATTTGAAAATTTTCAAAAATGACTAAGGCTGAAGACGATTTTTGGAATACTAGTAGTCATTCTGGATTTAACTTTGATGATGAAGAGGTAACTTGAAACTTTATTATTTTACATAGGTGATGGAGAGCTTCTAGCATACAACGCTATCACATATTGAGCTACAAGCTGCAACAGATAATATATACTCTCTACACCAAAGAAAAAAGGAAAAAATTAATCCAAGTACTCTTTTCTTGTTTTATTAATTTGCATTATAAGTAGCTAGGTACCCACCCACAGACCCTTGCACTGCACAAGGAAATATTTCTACAATATTTGTTTGAAAATCATTTATCAACAAATGGATACAATAATAGCAAACATTTATTTAATCAGAAAGAAAAACATACCTACTTATGCTACTAAAAATCAACAGTGGGCAGTGGATACTATTTAACAAAAAGTAGGTACCCATACCTTTATAAAAAAATAATATCAACAGGTAGCACCTTAACCCTTAATTGGTTGCTCCGGCGTAAAAAGTACGCCATTCAAGTTCAAACACGTGACATACTGAAACTAGCGATTGTCCGAAGGTGATCGCCTATGTAACCTACCACCATGGTGTCTTGTATGGACTGGAAAAGTGGCGATCCCGTAGGTTTCCATTTCGCTTCCCTGCAGGGCGCTGCTTTGAATAATGTACTAATTGGCATATAAAATACGCTAAAGCGACCATTTATGATTTTTATTTTTATAATGGTTTATAATACTGTTTTCGCCTAAAATGTAACATTTATGTGGTTGGGATTGAAAATGTTAGTTTTATGTGTTTTGCTTTACCTGTTTAGGGAAAGGATTTTAGAAAATGAAGTTTGTTCGGTTTTCCTTATTTTTTTATTTCCTATAAATAAAATGCTGTTTTATTTTTTTGTGACACATTATATCTAATATTTTATGTGGTAATAAATCAATACTTGACGTTACTGAGGATTCCACATTACTTTAAAGTTAGCAAAATTCCTCCCGATTATGAAAATACATTTTTATTTGAGTGGTGTACAAAGTACGCCAAGCGACCAGTGATGAGAAATAAAATCTAGCGACCAGTTAAGGGTTAACCAAGCAACAAGCATCAGATAATCGAACAATCAATGAGTATTATTTCCCCATCCATATAGTTTCTTGATAGCCTATCAAAAATTTATAAACTTTTGGAGCCTATTAAAAGTATTTACCTCTACCTACTATTTGGTGGCTACTATAAATCCTAGATGTAGATCCGAGCAGACAATCAAGCCAACATTCTACTCTGTGAAATATATAAATTGTTCGCTGACCTGGTGCTATGATTATGAAGTTATTTGGAAAATGTTATATTAGAATTACATTTTTGTAAATTATTAACAATTTTTACATTAATTTACATTGTTCCAATTTCAGTACCTGCTCTAATTCAATCATTTCGAAAACTTTCATTTCGAATTATCTTTTCTTCGAAATTCAATGATTTCGAAAACATTTATTTCGAAAACTCTTATGTCGAAATACTTTCTTTTCGAAATTCAATCATTTCGAGAAGATTTATATCGAAAACTTTTTTTTCGAATTACTTTTTTTTCGAAAATCAATAATTTCGAAAACATTAATTTCGAAAATAATAATTTCGATCATCAATAATTTCGAAAAAAATAATTTCGATATTTAATAATTTCGAAAACATTTATTTCGAAACTCAATAATATTATCATGATCTTTGTGCAGTGCGCTCCAGCAGACAATATTAAACTTACCGATAATAACCTGGTTAGTTTGGGTTAGTTTCCAATTTTAATCAGAAATTACCAAACTTACTGATAATAACCTGGTTAGTTTGGGTTATTTTGCTAATTTCTGGTTATAATTGCAAACTAACCCAAACTAACCAGGTTATTATTGGTAAGTTTGGTAATTTCTGATTAAAATTGCAAACTAACAACTCACCCAAACAAAATTATTGTTTTCGAAATTATTGAATTTCGAAAGGAAAGTCATTTGAAATGAATGTTTTCGCAATAAATGTTTGCGAAATATATGTTTTCGAAATGATTGAATTTTGAAAAAAAAAGTAATTCGAAATATAAGTTTTCGAAATAAATGTTTTCGAAATGATTGATTTTCCAAATAAAAGCATTCGAAATAAAAGATTCGAAATGTCTGTTTTCGAAATATGAACATAGACCCATATACACCTATGTGGTTATATATAATAGGTACCTATATTAAATCTGTACCTATCTGAGGTAAAACCTCGAGTAAAAGGCGAGGTAGAAAATATTAGTTGTAAATATTCAATCCAGTTTTGTCCACCTGGGCTTCCTTGATTCCATGTTTATCAAATATAAGTTTTATATAACTGTTTTTTTTTCTTTTCCATGTCGGAAGGCAGGAAATCTACCCTCAACAGTTTCCACCAAACTTCCATTGCGTTCCATACATAGGCACTCCTCGTATTATAACATTATCAGCCAACTCTTTTTGTTCCCTTTTATTTCACTCATTTTTAATTTTATCTAGTTCAGCTCTTAGTGACCTGTTATAATATCATCCTGCTCTTGAAGTTTTTTTTCAAGTATTGGACCAAACTACATTTCCATGTTTTTTTTTTTTTTGTTTCATTCACAGAATTTTTTTCATTACAGCGAAGTTTCTCTTTGGAAATATTTGACCATAATGTTCGATACTTTCCTTTTTTGGGGTTTCATCTATTACAAAAGTGCACAATATACCCTCATAGTCAGAAAGAAGTAAGTGCCTAGTTCTGACAGAACCAGCATGATCGCTACTAACGAAATTTTTGTCACAATTGCCTATGTTAGATTTACAGGGAAAGCACGCTGCACGACATGCCTCGATTCTTTTGAGAAAAGTTACTTCACAGACCTCGATGGAAATCAGTAAAAACATATAGCATATAAGTTTAAAATCCGCTCACATAGGGTCGGTTGCCAATCGTTGGTAATTTAGGGTCACAAATTGGCGTTTACCAACACTGGAATTCGTGCAGCATTATTTATGCAGAAAGCTCTCAAGAAATAAAAGCTAGTTTCAGTTTCACATAGTGCTAATGATTTGCAAAAATTGTATTGAGTACATGTAGATATACATATACAAGGTATACCATTTAAAACAAAACAGGCTTATTTTAATATTTGATGTTTTTTTTTTAAATCGCTCGTTCACGTAATTTGATTGTATGTTGTATGTGAGTGTTTGAAACATTTGCAGCACTAACTTAACCCTCTATAGGGGGGGTGGGACCAACCCTTACCATTCCAAATGGAACGAGTGATGCCTGTTTTAGAAGAGCGCTCAATTTTCTTTGAAATGAAATCAAATAAATAAAGAGAATTGCTCTTTTAAAAGAGGCTCGAAAAGAGGTATCACTCAACCCCTTGTTCCATTTGGAATAGTAAGGTTTGGTCTCTCCCCACCTAGAAAGTTAAAGTTGAAATGCTAAAAATGGTTGCAGAAAACTTTCCCCTTTGAAAATCAAATTACGTGTACGAGCGATTTTTTGAAAAATAAACTGTTTCGTTTAAAATGGTACAACCTGTATAACATGCATATTACAGGGTGGAAAATTGAAAAGGATGCACCTGGATTTTCTCGAAAATTATCAGGAAATTAAAAAAACGCCGAAACACGTCGATTTTGTTTGCGAGGAGGACACTTTTTGGCTATTTCAAAATTTTCCTAGATTGCACCCCCTCACCGGGGTGAGTTGCACCCTCAAAATTTGAATTGGGAAACTGGGTCGAGTGGTACCTTGTTTAAGAGGTATTTGAAATGACTTTACAGATATGCCATTTTTTTCGAAATCTGACTTTTAGTTTTCAAGATATTCGCCTCGGAAGTTGCCATGGGACGTAAAGAGAACGTGTGGGTCATGTTTGAAACGTTGTTCGAAAGGTTCAAACTAACAAAGAAACAAATGTTCAAAATAAACAAAATTGACGTGCTTCAGGAATTTCAATTTTTTCTTGTAGAAATGTACGGAAAACACGTTCTCTTTTCGCCCCATGGAAACTTCCGAGGCGAATATCTTGAAAACTAGTAGTCAGATTTCGAAATAAATTACAGATCTGTAAAGTCATCTCAAATACCTCTCAAACAAGGTACCACTCGACCCAGTTTCCCTATTCAAGTTTTGCGGGTGCAACTCACCCCGGTATGGGGGTGCAATCTAGAAAATTTTTAAAATAGCCAAAAAGTGTCCCCTTGCGAACAAAATCGACGTGTTTCGGCATTTTTTTAATTTCCTGATAATTTTCGAGAAAATCCAGGTAGATCCTCTTTAATTTTCCATCCTGTATATGCAGCTATAGTTTTATTACCGAAAATGTTTTAAAACTAGAGGGAACATCTAAAATTCTACCAGAGACGTAGAAAAATTCATAAAAAATAAATGCGTAAGAAAAAATGTGGTGAGGTAAGAAAAGTAGGTACAGGTCAACGATTGTAGCTTGGTCTCTGAAAATTTGTTACACAGCCACCCACATCCAACATTCGATTTCTCGATGGTTTTCCATCTACGTCGCACAGACTCTTATTTTGTTGTACGTCGTGTGCGCATCTTGGAGGCCAAGCTACAATCGTTGACCTGTGGTAATGTCGAAGTTAGAAGATATAAATTAAATAAATCAAAGGGCTAGTACAGGTCTCGAACCGACTGGAGCAACTTTAGGTAATTTGAATTTTCAACTGTGCCTCACTCGATTTTTTTGGGAGCACACAAAAAACGAAAATTGACGTGTCCGAGAGGAAAGTCAGGAAAGTGTTAATTTGAGAATAACAGGGCCAGAAGATTGTTTCCTATTTAGCCCATGGCAAATTTGACAGTGAATATCTTGAGAACCAATCATTCGATATTCAAAAAAAGTACACAGTTGTGACGAGATTCAAAATACCTTTAAAACAAGGTACCACTCGACCCATCTTCCCTATCTCAAAAAGAGGGGTGAAAGTCACCCCACCCAGAGGGTGCACCCTAGTGAAATACCGATGGGGTGAAAAAGTTTCCCCCTTGAATACGAAATTGACGTGTTCGAGCCTTTTTTTTTAAATCGACCTTGAAATATCCCAAAACGTCTCTGTTTCGATGTTCAACACCGAGTGAAACACCATATATAAGCGTATATTCCAAAGGATTTTGGTTGCATATATTCCTGGTGAATAGACATTAAATGGATATCTTTACTCGTATCTATATTTCCTTTAGTGATGCAACGGTCTATTGAGTATATAAACAGACACTTACTATTGGCATTAATTAGAGTCAAACAAACCCATCGGTGATCTGCTGTCTTCATTTATGCACAGCACTTTTCTTTAGGCCTATTATGACGGTTTTACACCAAACCGACAAAATGACGACCCTAATTGAAAAAAAAAATTGCAGATTTTTTTGTAGATTTTCCTGCAACTCCTAGTTTTTCAATAGTTTTGTTTTTCATTCAAAAATCTGACCGTGTCAGAGCAATACATATTCATAGGGCCAGTTTCATAAATAGCGGTAACCCAACGGTAACCACAGGCACACTGGTAACCCTTAATATATCTGTTTCGTAATGTGTGGTTTAGCCCAAACCATTTGTCCGGTCCCAAAGTATTTGATTCAAGCCCTATTTTGCAAACTTGTGGTTAACCGGCAACTATTAGTTTGATAACCAGTACAGGTTACCAGCAATTGTGAAACTGGGCCATAGTATGAGTAATTAACAGTGTGTTGGAGCTTTAAATACTTGTGTTTTTCCAAAGATATTTTCCTACAACTCTCTGATTCGACACTGTCAAGACAAGAATTCTTTGATTTTATGAAAATTTATTTTCAAAAATCCTTGTTTTCTCGCTTTTTAATTCAGTTTCCATACTAAGTATGCATTAGTGAACTACTAATGCTTTTGCAAACTACTGGTAGAAATGCACCGAAAACATCCACAAGAAGAAAGAGAAAATTTGGACCTGTGGTTTATCTCTGAAATTGACCCATAAAATTAGATGAAACCCAGACAAAAAAAGATTCTGCCTCATATTTGAACATTAAATGCAGGATGTGTTCCAAAAATTCACGGAATTGCCCATTTCCATGCATACCCCTTTGAAAAAATTTGAATTTTAAAATTTTTGGATTTTGCAATTTTTGACTTTACCAATCGAAAGAGGAGGTGAAACTTAGTGGAAAAGTATTAATGCAACTTTTTTTTTGGGTTTTAGAGCTTGTAAAAAAATAAAAATGATTTTTGCAATTTTTGAGCTCAGAAAATTTCAATAATCTGACATTGTCTCACAAAATCGCTCATTACTCGGTTATTATTGCAACAAATATGATGTAAAATTATATATTCTGAATCAGAATTAAAGTATCTTTAAGATAGAATAGTTTCAATTCAATTTTCAATTCTCTATTTCAAATACTTCTGGAGATATTGAGGCTCAAAGTCAAAACTTTGTCTTAAATTTCACAAAAGATTCAAAGCTGATTTTCTCGATAATGAAGCCCTTGGGTCCGGTGTCTCAAATAACCTCTTTTTATTGAGATAAAATTCAGTGAAAATTTCAGCTTTCTATCTATAATAGAAAAAAAGTTATGACCTTTCAAAGTTTTCCAAAATCTATATCATAAGATGTGCTTTATGGGTTTGCAATTGGGTTGCTTATGACCGTGTTTGGGTTGTGCTTCAAGGTAGCTTTTGATAATTATTCTAAAAGGAAATGAAAATTTCCAAATTTATGGCCACAGACACAAATGTCACAGTGCACAGAAAAGTTCAAAATTTTCGTTTGCAAATCACAACGATCAATGGAACGCATGCTAAGCATCTGATGCTAAACAAGAAATGACTGAAAATTGGTCATATCGTAACCGTAACATAATAGGTCTGTTCCAACACAGCAGGAAACCGTACATTTTATCGTCATGATTCTGCGCAAACTGTAAAATTTGCGCGTAGAAACCGAAATTCGTTCACTGAGTGGTTTCGAAATCGTTCATGGGACGGTTTTTGACGTGTTGGAACAGACCCAATGTCAGATCTCAACTTGTCTGGAAATGTACTTGTGGCCAAATAAATATGTATTTAGTTAGAGTCCAATAATTTTACTCACCAACTGCAAATGTATTCGAAAACAATGAAAATACCCGGGTATAACAAATGTATTTAAGTAAAAACGCATGTACGCGGGTATTTTGAAAATTACTCAGTACAATAAAAAGTACCCGGTACCTATTTTCTATATTCTTAAGCAGTCCAAGTACGAGTACAAGTACGCGATTCAGAAAGTATCTTGGCCTGAGTACCGAGTAACTGAAAGAATACTTAGAGTACAAGTGAAGAGTACTTGTACCGTACCCGAGTACCGCACAGCTTTGAAGCCCATCAGGATATCGTCAAAGGCGAATTTTTTTTTTCGGGTGCCTCGCCCAAAAACGTTTATTTTTCTGAAATAAAAATAATTTATTCAGTTCAATAGGGGGGGGGGGGGGGTTCGAACCCCCAAAACCCCCCCTTATATACGTCCTTTCGAAACGAGCGGCAGGCGAGTTTCGTATGTAACATGCGAGTGTATTAATGGACATTTCATGAGAGTTGCATACACTATTTTTTGTACTTGCAATAATAAACGAAAAACATATTTATTTTATAAGAATAGTAAACTTCTCAACTGTTTACAACTTGACAATTTCAAAAATTAAGATCTAGACGTCATTTGGGCATAAATTCCGCACCCGATTTATTAATTTTTTGTTGTTTCTTCTGGTAAATAGTAGTAAATACTAATAGAAACAATCCAAAATTCCAAAGCAAGTCTGTTATTTTTATATGAACATCGTTCATGTTCAAAATACTCGATTCCAGTGGCTGAAAAATCTGTATCATAATGAAGTTCATTATGAAACAGATTTTAGGCGTATTATGAAACCTCAGTAGAAAAAAAATATTTCGGTTTTTGTATTCCAAATTTTGTACTTTGTCACTGCTAGGGCCCCCATAGAAGTATGTGATAAAAAGGTTATGGAAAGTTTTTAATCTATTTCATATTTAGGATACACTAAGTGTTTCTTCAGATCATGCTGTGCTTAGACCTGTGACTGAATCCTCAGAATTACCTATCCATGCTATCATTTCCAGAGGAAGCTTGGATCTAGGTGAGTTTTTATAACTAACTTATGCGGATGAGAATTAAACCAAAATTGCATAGAAGGAAAGGCATATTCATTTTCCAAAAATGTGTAAATTATTACAGTCAATCCTCTGAGAGTCTGACACCTGTAAATATAGTTTATATTGAATAATTTAATATATTGTTCCTAATAAAAATACAATCTTTGAAGCTGAATATATTGCGAAAATAAAAAGGAGCCTATGTCCGTACGTCATATGCGGAACATTTGGATCCAATTTTTATTTAATCACTGCCTAAAGGACCCCGCACACATCTTATGGGTTTTTGGTTTTCTGTCAAACTCAATGAAATTTTGATATGTGGTATATCTTGACTTACTGATAAAAAGTTCTCATGGGCCCAACCCGATACTATGATTAGTTTCCAAAATACAGGTGGTTTAATGTTCAAGAAATTTACACATTTTATATGCATTCACATCTACCTGTCACCTATTATTAGGTCTGTCAGAGTGAATTTCATTGGTTGTAACTAGTTTTCTGACTGTTTTCGACCAAACAAATTCGCTCTGACAAGTTTGTGATTTTAGCAGAAACAGACCTATTATTAGGTGACAGGTATATGTGAATACATATAAAATGTATACATTTCTTAGACACAAAAGTACCTGTATCTCAAAAACTAATCATAGGATTGGTTCGGGCCCATGAGAACTTTTTATCAGGAAGTCAAGGTCTAACACATATCAAAATTTCATTGAGTTTGACAGAAAACCAAAAATCCATAAGAGGTGTGCGGGGTCCTTTAGTTTGGAGACGTGATCGATCACGGCACTATTTACAGTGAAAGAGCTTATCAGTGATACACTCTCTATCAGAAGCGAGGGTGTATGCATGTGCCTATTCTAACTATACTTATTTGTAATTTGATATTTTGAATGCCAATTTTCAACATTTTTTGCCTAGTACTTGATGATGTTGCATCTACGCTTCAAATTGTGGTTCCTTCCGCAGAAGAAACTATTAAAAAAATGATCCTCGGTCATAATTACAACTTACGAAGTTACACAAAGTTCAGGGATAAAATCAATATTTTGGAGAAGTCTTTAGAAACCTGTGATGCCAATGTTATTATTGAGGTAACTTTAATTTTTATACCATTCCATATTCCCCATCAGCAATCATTCCAATCATCATAATTTTAATTTAATGAATATTATTATTTATAGGCTATTCTGTATTTAAGAGGAACCCTAAAAACTAATATTTTTTATCATCAATTAGCCAAAAGGAAATTAGCTCTGAAACATTATGGGTATTATTTATTGTTGAAAAATGAACTGGATGAATTGGTAAATCTTTACATGTAAGTGAATCTCTAGACAATTCAAGAAAATTAAGCTAAACAGAAGCGACATAAAAGTATGCTAAGGAAATAAAATGAGGAGGACATAATGAAATAAATAATGGGCTCTTTCACTAAACTTTAAATACATAATTAAAGCTTAAAATCTTAAACGAGGTATCATTTAGGTATATTCGCCAAAAAAAATAAATTATCTACGAACGTCAATGAGTTTTCTACAGGCCCTTCAAAACTGGAAAAATTCAAAATCCTTAAAACGCATCAAACGATGCGTATTAGCATCATACCAATCAAATTTTAGAAGAGTACTCTAACAAAGCACAAACAGCTGTTCCAGCTGCTGCTGGTAAAAGGTTTGAATGTGCTATTGCCAGTTGTGACTAGTAGTGCGTCGAGAGAAAAAATTAAAACAGTTTAAAAAAGATAAATGCAAATTGGGTATTATAATAATTTTGGAAAAAATGTTATAAACTCTTAAATCCTTAGTGAAACAGCCTATTAGTGTGGCTTTTGTGGTTTCGGTAGACACTCTCAACACATTTTTTTACATTTTATTATATCGTCTCTATTTTCATTGCCTTCAACCATCAAAAACAAGTTAATCGGAGACGTTTAGCTATTTTTGTATTGAGATTCGTTTAATTTGGCCAAACGTTTTTTTTTTGTTTGTAATGGACCCAAATAACCATTTACATACATAGGTACAAGGTGACCCATGTCTCATTCTTTATATCCGCCAAATGAAGGGTGAATTATTACTTCTTATATTTTTGTCAGGCTCTTTGCAAAGTTCTATACATATTGGTGCAATTTTTGGCACAATTCTGTTTATTTGTGGCCCTAAGCTAATTCACTTTTAAAAATATAGTGGCTTGTTGTAAATTGTATGACATGCGTATAGTAGAATGTAAAATAATAAACATAACGATTATGTCAAGCTCCTATTTCGTATAACGCAGATAAGCTTCAAGATTTTGTTTGAAAAATATAATTTATTTGTAGGGCGACTGGAAATATCTCCAACATGGTAAGATTCAAAAATTATTTTAGAAAAAATAAATAAACAAAATGTGTTGCGATATTATTAATTTTGTTATATTACAGAAAAACTTGTATTATTTGACTAGTCAAAGCACCATAAACAAAGCCTTGCTTCACAGAAAACTTGAACAGTTCATTATGGAACACTTGCAAAAATTAAATTCAAACGAAGATAAAGCAGAATTTTATGGCAACCTTCAGTTCATAAGTATGTGAGTCTTATAATTTACTTCATGAAAATTTAATGGGAAAAAATATTCGAAAAGAATTTCAGGTGGACAAAAATACTAATTGCAATTCTGTTGTAACGCAACTTGTCGAATTATGCAAAAGTGAACTTTTAACACACAAAGGCTTAGATAAATTGCAGGAATTTAAAAAGGCTTTTAAAATAGATGATCTCACTTTTGATTGGACCTTGATGAATGTTCTAGCTTCAATGGAATTGTGGATGCATATAAATGACATATTTATAAAAAATGTAAGATTTAATTTGATATAAAGGTTTATTATTTATGCATATAGGAATCCTACCCTATAGTTAATTATATTCTATATTTCAGAACTGGTTGACAAAAAGAAACGTTTTAAAAACTGCAGTTCCACAGGAAGTGTTTTTAAGTGCCCTTGGTAGGCATAACCCTCCTAAGGATATCTTAGAAACCCTTTTAGCATGTGTATCTGATACAGATAAAGCTTTTGCACTAGCAAACAAACTGCATTGTCATACATTTATAATTCAATATTTCGTGAATCAAAGAGACAGATTGGCTTTAATGAAGTATAGGGAAAAAGTTGCCTTGCAAAGCTCAGAATATTTTTTAATACAAAGTGCATTACAGTCTACTGTAAGTTTTTTTATTTTCAGTTTTGCACTTATACCTATAACGAGATTTTTTTAGGAAAAAAAATGGAAAAATTGATACAAATTCTACAGAACAAAAATATTTTTGGATACCTTACTTATAACATTTATACTTACATAGATTTTAGGTATGACTTTATTATTCATATTTTTTGATATACCTAGATATTATACAGTAACTACATGTTTGATTATTATATTATATTTATTTATTTATAAGAAAATTGTTTTCTTTATTTTTGGACAGATAGTGCTGCTTGCTAAAATATAGTTGTGGGCAGGTTCAAACTCGGACAAAATAATGTTAGTTTTTTTATTATTTATTTATATTTTTTGTTTGTGGGAAACGGGTTTTTAAAAAGTTGTTTGTGGAAAAGAAATTTGATATTTCCATCATTTTTGAGGAGAGGTTTGTTTTATGCTTGTCGACCCTTAAGATTCTCAATTTCTAGAAATCCTTTCCTGTACACCATCGAACAAGGACCATGTTCACGTTTTCGTAGATGTGTAAATGCTGGAAAACAATGTGTTTCAGATTAATTTAAGGATTTGATGAAATTCATAGAACAAAAATAGGTGGCGGCATTAAATGTCTAGATTTTGATATGGAAACTGGGGATTCTTGGTACCTTCATTAGCAGCCAGGAAAAATCAATGGTTAGCAAAAGGATCAGCAATCAAATTATGAAGAAATGTTACAGGCGTTAGTTTTCATCACTTTTTCCTAAATATTTCAAAGGTTGGTCTTGGGACAAAATCTTTATAGTCTTGCGCCCATATTCCACACTATTTCTTAAGCAATGCTCCTCCATATACTTGCTTCTACCACGTCCACAAATGAATCTTTATTTATGTGTTTATAGTAAAATTATAATATTCAGCAAAACTTTATCCTAATTATTTGCGTAAAAATTATTATTCTTATCGCTAATAGCCAACATATTGCTTGTGTTTTGACAAGAACAAACATTTTTGACATTTAAAAATAACAAAATTCCTGTGAAAAACATGTCTGAATCCGGAAAAAGCAATATATGCCCATTAGAGGATGGCCTCGAAATACTGGCGAATTCAAATTCGACTTCTTGAAGCTGTTTCTTACGAAGGAAATAATCGAGAAATTGAAGGACAGAAAGATTTCTTATGGGGCTACGCTGCTTGATTGTGTCAATTCTGGGGTGTGAAGTGAAAAAGAAATGTATCATCCTTGCGGAAAGATATAGAAGAACTTTAAAGCTAACGCACAATATAGACCTCAATTCACGCTGCTATAGGTGCCCTACGTTGGTGGTGTAATTTTACATAATAAACACATACCCTGATGTGCCCTGGAAGCCTATTCTGTAAAGAACGAACCGTTCGATGCAGTAGAATTTCTTCGATTGTGACGTCATTTTCGGTTTGGTAGCGCGGAAGCTATTCCGTAGCATCAAACCGATCGGTAACTTAATCGAAGCTTCGATTCGCTGACCGAGAGCACTGTGGGTTTCGATTTGAATTTCGGTGAAGGTTTTTGACGTTATAGTGACGCGTGTTATTGGTTGTTTAATCCGTTTTTTCAATAGGTACACATTTTATATTTTTAGGCACAACAGGAAACAGATAAGACGAGTAATAACATCAGGATTAACATATGAGGGCTATGAGGCTCCTCAGGGATTCCTCTTCTAGTGAAAATCCTCAAGTCTTGGGACTGTTTTCAGTGTTTTTATCCAGGAATGTTGTCTCCCTCATCGCAGCAATGTCAATATTGGGATGATTTAGTTCATGGCTAATTGTGGCCGTTCTTCTCTCTGCGTGAATTGGATTGTCAGTATCTTGCAGAGTCGGAGTCCGAATGTTCCAGGCTGCAAAGTTTAATGATTTTTTTTTTTGAGCCGATGAGCAGAAACCCTCGAAGATCCGACTGGGAGAGTATTGTACCGTACCTCCGAACGTTTTTGATCTACTAGAACAATCAATCTTGTGTAATAGCAGATGCGTCTGTATATAGTCAAGGGTAGCACGCTCTTCTCTCGGCTTTGGCTATAGCCGTGACCCTTGGTTTATTTGTATCACTGGCGGAACCTGTCAAAAAGCAGAACAAAATTGAAAACTAAACGTAAACAACACAAACTTTCATTTAATTGTCAACCAAAATCAAAAAATACCCTGACAACTATCATTTTGTCAACTGTCAAGCATGAATACACGCACTCTGATTGGTTGGGAGCATAACAATCCGACAACATTGCATGGCGTTCGGAAATTTTACCGGTTGCCCTTCGATTCCTTTCAAACCGAACGGAATGGGTCCCGAAAAGCCATACTGAATTGCAAAGTACGCTTCCGAACCGAATGTTCGATTACTGCGCCGTTCGATAGTGTACCGAACCGAGAGATTCCGTCTACAAAAAATAAATACAGAATAAGGCCCCTGACCACAAAACTTTTGATAGATCTGGCCTCACATTTTCACGCCATACGTTGACCCCAATAATCGAGGAAACTGCGACATCCCGGTTGAACAAATTATAATTTCTTAGAAATAGCGGAAGCAGAATTTAGATCAACGGATTCATTAGGACCGAATGGGGGAAATTAAACTATCTAAGCAAATAGTAGGGTCTGATATGACTTCGTTTTCAAATCGTGCTAAAATTGTGAAATAAGTTTTAATGTGTAGTAAAGGACCATAGTAAGGCATAATAGGCCGTATTTATAAAAATGAAGTATTTCCTTCAAAGGTAAAGGTAGAAGTAAAAGGAAAAGGTCACAAGGAGAAGCTAGAAGGAAAAGGTTTTGCTTTATTTCGTATTCATAATCTTTTCCTTTTCTTTGCAAGCAAATCCTCGCAAAAAAAAAGGAAAAGGTAGACAGGGGCAATTGATATATTTATATAACCGTCCGCCGCATGATTTCATGAGCAGAAGAATTTTTCCAAATTCGACTGTCATGTACAGAGCCGGGCCACCGTGCATCGATAATCATGAAAACGTAATTTTGATCACATATGGCTTGAACAATTGGCCTGTTCGCACAGAAATCACAAACCAGTCAGAGCGAACTTTATTGGTAGAAAAAAGTCAGAAACAGGAAACTAGTTCCAATCAATGAAATTAACTCTGACTGGTTTGTGATTTCTGTGCAGACCCATTAATACTAGCATAATTTTTCCGGTTAACATATTCATCGCCAAATTGACACGGCTTTTCAATTTCAACATGCGTGCAATCGATAGCTCCTTTTGCAATCGGGAAATTGTTGCTCGCTGCCCATTTCACTATGCGGCATCCATAACTTCATTTTCGGTAGATGGGAACTTGATCCATTCATTCGCCCTATCCATAATGAGATCGAGAGTGGTGGCGACGATTCTGGAGTCTGTAGGGTGTGTACATTCCAGTCCAGTTGCTCAACGATACCGCTCTGGAAGCCCGGATCTACCATGTACAGTAAGACTATATACTTTCATTTTTTGTAGTACTGGTGAAAGCGCACCTTCCCTGGTTTCCAGATTCTCGCCAATGAAGTAGTCGGCTGGGCTAACCACTGCTCGTTTATTTCGTCAAACCGAAAGAGGCTCCGAAAATCTCCCTGACGTAGAGTATGTCTTTCTTTGCACACTTTTTGTGCTCGTACGTGCACCATATCCGCCATGGGAAATTCAAAATCTCGATCGCACTCCAAAACTAAATATCTTGCACTACAAGTGCATGTAAACGAATGAAGTAGAGAATACTTTGCCACAGAAGCTGCTCTGTAGTAGATGCATATTTTCTGAAGCAAATCCTTCAGTTTTAAAGCAATTGCTTCTGTTTATGAATACCGAAAAAGTGAAACCTTCTCCTTTAGAGCAATACCTTTTTCCTAGAAGTCCAAATCCTTTCTTTCTTTTTTTTTGGAATAGAATATGAAGTAAATGCTTCGATTTCTGCAAGTAAAAGCAAGTCCTCTTTTTTATAAATACGGCTTAATGACTTGTCACTCTCAAAATTCGTAAGTAGGTATATTTTTTTACAGGGTGTTGAAACATGGCGAACCTGACAGAGGTTTCGAAAATGCTAATAAATTTAAATAAAAGTGATAATTGGCATTAAAAATTACATAACTACCTAAGTTTTATGAAAAAAAGTCTTGAAATTTATAACAGTAAAGTTTTAGTAGAATAATCAGTATTAAAAGTAGCTATAGCCCTGTACAGGGTGTTCCAAGATAAACATACAAGCAAATTCCTTAAAAATCGATTTTCTTACGTAAATAGTAAATAGAGTATTATGCCAAATATACCTAGAGCTTTCTTTTACATAACAGACTTTATACAAGGTGTCGCTAAAATCAGCAATTTTATCTTGCGATTAAATCTATTCCCCACAGTGCTGGAAGTATGTGGAGGACATTGTGCTAAGCATAGCAGGAAGGATTAGAAAGTCCTTATAGAACTATGGTGCCATGTCCTTTTGAGCAAGTTGTCAGAGAGAGCTATCAATTCCAGGATCCTACAGGAATCTGATGACCTAGAAATGATTCCTGAAGAACAATTTGAACTTGGAGCATGTCATTCGACCAAGCTATAGAGGCGCTCAGACTAGCCGACCATACCACAAATGGATTTAGTTGGAATAAGACACCAGGACTGGGACTCTGTAACGAATAGAGATATTTTCTCTATCTCTATTGATGTCTCCTCTCTATTGATTTGGACAAGAAAAAAGAAGACAGGTTGCGTTGTGGTTTTCTGCTTCGATCATGAGCAGAACTGACCAAATTGACACCAGCATGCGTCATGGAAGCTTTTGCTGCACTCTCCACCTTCGTTGCCAGCTCTACCAATTTTTCCAAGTCCTGATCCTCGGATTCTTCACACATTCTATCCATTATTTTCCCATTGGAAAGGCCACAGACGAAGCGATGCGCAAGAATTTTGGGTAAATCACTTCCAAAACTACAACTGACTGCTGCGCTTCTCAATCGACCATAATATTCCGTAATGGTTTCGTCAGCCTGCGAGATTTGATAAAATTTCTTCCTCTCTCGCCAGGCGCTGACTTGGACTTTAAATTGTGATTTTAGTAGTTTATTTAGCTCATTGAAGGTCTTTTCTTTTGGAGGCGTTGGGTAGCATAAGTCCCTTAGAAGTTTGTAGGTTTCCACCCCCATGGAGCTCAACAAGACTGCGATTTTTACCTTGCC